GGGAGGGAAGGAGGGGGAGAGAGAGAGAGAGATTTTGATTAATCTTTATTAGCTTTCTCGGCTACTTTAACAAACAAAAACTAATACTAATACCAATACTAATACTAATGCTAATAACTAATACAACATATAATATAATTAAAATTGGAAATAAAATTTACGCTAAAAAACAACAACGAAAACAAGTAACTATTCTATTCTATCTTTTACCACATAATTCTTTAACTTTCATTTAAAATTTATCAATCCTGTACATTGCCTTACATCTGCTGGTAATGCATTATACAATCTTAATCTCTCAGGACATACTCTTTTGTGCACTAGTTGTTCTTCTAAATTGAATTTCAATATTGTCTGCTTATCGTGTTGACGTTTTTTTCTTCACTTCCTACCCTACACTTATCTCTTAACTGTTCCGATAATAAGTTATTCAGAATTTTAAAAACAAATATGCATACATTATAGTGTAATCTCTGTTTTATCGACATAAATTGTAACGCCTGCAACATATCCCTTACTTTAGTATATCTTACATTGTAAAATAATTCTTATAGCTCGATTCTATACTTTTTGTAAATTACATAATTCTCCCATTGCTATCAATAATATAACACAATACTCAAAGTGCGGCGCTATAATTGTCTTATATATCATACATCTAGTATACATCGATATCGAGTTACCTATTCTGTTCAAGAAGCTTGTTTTCTTCCCTATCTTTTTTATAGTCATATAGTCACAACATATAGTCACAATGCTTATCAAATTAAATCTATCATTTATAATTATATCTAAATATTTTATTACTTCCACACGCTCTATTATAGTTCCATCCAAGCAATCAATACAATATTACCTTTCACTTCCTTTCTTATACCTCTAACTATCATATATTTCGTTTTTTCTGCATTCATTTTTAACTTATTTATATTCATCCATATTTCAACTATATTGAATACTGTGTTCATCTTTATTTCTAAATCCGCGCTACTTTCTCCACTTACATATATAAGCGTGTCATCTGCAAACATTTTTATATTGTACCCCTCTGGACAAACTTTGATTATATCATTTATGTATATTATAAATAATAAAAGTCCTAGCACGGATCCTTGTGGCATTCCATATTCTGTCGAAGTTTAGACCGCTTATGATTAAATCGTACCCGTTGTTTTCTATTATTTAAGTATGATTTAAACCATTCACTTTTCCTCTAATTTCATATTGAAACATTTTTTCTAATAATCTTTTTCTGTCTATTATTTCAAACGCTCTCTTAAGATCCATGAAAATTACTCCCACCATTTTCCTTTCACTCACTATTAATTTTCAATCATCGATGACAGTTTGAATCGCAGTTTCGCACATTTTGAATAATGTTTTCGAAATCCCGATTGATGTTCTGTTATAATGCCATTTATTATTTTCCAAATACATTTCAAGTTGATCTTTTACTACTAATTCTAACATTTTCTCAAATATTGGTAACATATTGATAAGTCGCTTGCTTTTTTGGTTTTTTCTATCTTTGGTATCGGTATTATCGTAGAAGTTCCAACCTTCCGAAAAGTCTCCTACTCTCAAAGAATTATTAATTATATCCACAATTCTTCTTTTATTACGTAAAAGGCTGCTTTCAATACATCGCTAGTTATCTTTTCTTCTGTACCTTTCTTTTTTGGCAATTCCATAACCACTTTCTGTAACCGCTCTAACCTGATTGTTTCAAAATTTTCCATAATTCCTTTATCTTCGATAACATAAATAATTTTTTTATTTGTGTCGCCGGGCCTATTTATATTTATAGATTTTACTATACTTGATATTTTGTATATAATATAAATTAAATTTATCCGCTAACTCGCACTCCTCAGTGTTACCTAAAATCTCAAAGTCTATATTTTCTACTTCCTTCACACCTATTGACTCGCCTCTAATTATTTCTTTTAAGGTTTTCTACATAATCGTGGGATTTTCTTTATTAAGATCTATCATATTTTCATAATACTTTTTCTTCTTTTCCCTCATTAATTTTACTACTGCATTTCTTTCAATTTTAAACTGCGACCAATTTTGTTCCGTATCATCATACAACTTTCCCATATGCCTTATCCCTTCTATCCGCTGCTTTTCTTATTTCAGAATACCACTTTTTCCCATCCCATACTTTCGGAATTCTAAATTTTTTCTTCGGTTACATCTAACGCATCTACTATATTATCGACAAGTTTTTTCGCTCTCTTACTAACATCTATATCTGATTTTTTTGTACCTTATCTTTCACTAATCTAGTAAATTCATTTACATCGAACTTTCCATAATTCCTAGCACTAAATTCCCTATATTTATTTTCAACTTTACTCGCACTCAACTCAACTTTTAACCACGCGTGGTCCGTAATTTTAGGTTCATGAATTACCTATACTGCTATTTCATTATTATTAGCGAA